GGCCCTCTGCCGCCGGGGCTCGGCGCCGGGACGGGCGCAGCCGGCGGCCTGCAGCGCCCCGGAGAAGGTGCGTTTCAGAAAGAGCACGCGGAGCTCCTTCAGCTGACGGCCTCGTACTCGTGCTCTCCAGCCACAAAATGCTGCAGACAAAGCGTCTGCAACGCCCTAGAAGCAAGAGACTATGAGAACAGTTTTACAGGTAGAGGTTCTTTATTAGACACCTATCGCATCACCCGAAAATAAGGCACACACGCAGGGGCAGCTCTTTATTTCCTTAAACAGAGCAGTACATTGCTGGGTTCGTTGTTTTAACAGAACAGGGAGAAAGCAAGCTCATCAGAGAAACAGGCGTTACACCTTAGGTCAATATAAATAAAATCCAGGATCGCGTTTTTATTCGCCAGGACGCCCCCATGCATGTATCTCACTTGCAACGTTCTGCAATCCCAAGACAAATCAAACCTTGTGACAGCACCAAACCAACTGTATGCATTTACTATGCATCATCGGGTTAAACTACAGGGACTCTACAGCAAAATCAAAAGCCACGGTGGTGCACGTTGTTCTGAGACTAAGCAGCAGTATTAGACAAACACGAAGCTAGGTCAGTTTTCTCTGTAGCTCCAGCCTGCCTTAGCAGCTGCTGCCATGTTTGGTTTTTTGGGGGTTTTTGTTTTGCTTGCTTTAATTAGGAATTTTAATGGCACAAAAACAGTTTTGCATTTTTACATTTGAAAGCTTAAAAAAAAAAAAGCCTTGTAACTTTGCAGGGAACTAGATTCTTCCTCTCCAAGAAAAGGCTCCAGAGTGTGCAAGTTTGAATATCTGTGAATCTGTAGGAAAAAACCAGATACTACATTGTTCAATGAAACTAGGGGTTTCCTCCCCAATATAATACAAGCCAATCACTTAGATTCCCTGCAAAAACCTCTCCTTCCAGTAATGATCCCCTAAATCAGGCATGTCTAAAAAGTTCTAGTCCAGAAAGCAAGCACCACTATGCATTAAGAGTTGAAGGTAATTTCTACATTATTTAATAGAATATAAAAAAAAAATCAGAACAAAGAATCACATATTAATGAATCATACACTTACAGTTGTCTTCAATGTAAGTTGAACATACTCTGTGACTAGGAAAATGTCAAGTGAAGGTCACCTTCAGCAGCAATTTTACAGACTTACAGCTCTGGTATTTTAATACCCTGTGCATTTAAGAAAAATAATCCATGGGAAAGAGATGGGCTGTATAAAACGTATCTTCAAATGGAGGTTGATTGGCAATACATCCTGTTCATCCCTACTGTGCAATGCAGGCAGGAACTGCTCCTTGCGCTACCAGTGTAAATCACTACGCTAAGACCAGCACAGAAAGTAGCACGGTACGCGAAGGAATCAAAGCTTGCAAGATAAGGCTGCCGATAGGCTGGAAAAACAAGTTTTCCCATTAAAGTGTCAGCACAGCTGTTAACCAGGTGAATGCCAGCAAACTTTTGGCAGCTCCTTCACGGCAGCCGCGCTCCCGTCCTCACTTCTCCTCCTGCGGTTGCGAGGGAGCATTGCTTTTTCGGGCCACGTCTAAGGAGTCCAGGGCCTGACCGGAGAAAACGGCTTCCAGTCGCTCGTCAATCTCCGTTTTCTCCCTGAACGCGCACCAGAGCAAGAGCCCAGCGCACAGCAGGCTGAGCGGCAGCACCTTCGCCCACGGCCTCTCGTGGTCGCTCCCCATGGACCGGCCGACGCTCCACACCCGCGGACTGGCCTTGCTGGCGGAGAAGGGGATGGCCCCCCCGCCCTCCGGATCCGCGCCCTCCGGGGCCCGCCGCCGCGCCCGC